AAGTAAAATAAAAATAAAGCTCAGACTTGGTTCCTTACAATTCTACATGCTTGATAAAACATGTAATCGCTTCAAGCTCCATGAAAGGTGTTATTAATAAATATAAACAACAAAGGAAAGTTTTATTCTATTTCCATTCACTGATGCTTCCAATCATGGTAACAAAAAATATTTCTTGTTGCACAGTATTTTATACCTCATTCTTAGGTGTTCTATATGAATGTACAAGTAATTATAATTTGGAAGTGTTTTTATAAAAAATTTCTTATGGTTAATTTAGAGTGGCACAGAACCAACAATGTTTACTTTAAATTGAAAGGTTCTTTAAATGATGCCATGGAGAGGATTGGCTGCCCTACTCATTTTTTGCATAATACCATGCATACCACTGCAGATATTTTGTCAATAGATGTTGAAGTTATAGCAATGAAAATATTTTCTCACTTTTCAATGTATATTGTACAGAATGAACTATTGAAGAAAATTTTGTGAATTTGTGGGAATTCACTATAAAACAGTTCTCTCTCATTTCAAGACACATTGACTTTCATTGACTATGCCCTTGAAAGAGTATCAAAGTTGTTTGATGCTTTGAAACTTCCTCTCGCAAGAAAATGCTCCTGTAATTTAGTTGATTTTTCTTTCTTCTCTCCTAAGTGAAACCTATTTGTATTTTGTACACAGCTTTGTTCATGTATTTCATATAAAGAAAATAGAAACAAAGCATTATTGAAGTTTTGTCCATACTCAAAGACAAAGAAGATTATCAATGAACACTATAAAATGAATTTTTTTTTCTATTGGCGTAAAGAACATTTTAAAGTCAGAAGACATTTCTGGCAGTTCTTGGCTGAGCAGTTCTTGGCTGAAGCAAGAATGTTGTGTAAAGTTGGTTATGATTATCTGATGAATTGGATGAATGAAATATAAACTGTTTATGCTTCTTAATTGGCAAGAGGTGGAAGAAACATGCACTGCTTAGATTGAGAAAAACTTGGAAATTCACAATAATGATATTTCCAGCCAATACATGAATCTTCTTGAATTTGTGGAAAATGAGCAGAAAAACACCAGAGATGGAGAGCAATGTCTAGCCAGCAGAAGAGGAAAACATATTTTCAGAATTGTGAATTTAAGTGTCATTATTCAGAGTTTGTTTATATCTTTTCAGCATCCCTGCACACAATTCACATGTGGAATGAATATTTTCTATGATGACTGTTAAGTGGTCAAAGAACAAAATTACCTAGACTTTAGTATAGTGGAAAGCTTATTGCAACTTCTAGTAAATAAAAATAAGTCATGTTCTGAATTTTATAATTAGGCCCAAGCATTGGAAAAAAAGTCCTCTTAAGAGACACTAAGAGTTCACTCATATATTAATATGCCAAACTGTTGCATATGTAATCCAACTAAAGACTGAGCATAGTCATGAAAAACTATATAATTTAAATTCAAAATTTGTCAAAATTTTAGAAATTAGGGATTAACAATGTTTCAAATATGTTTTGTAATTTACTAATTTCAAAATACAGTGGTACCTCTGTATACGTCTGCTTTAGAATACATCAAATTCGGAATACGTCCTGTTTGGACGAAACAAATTTTGCTTGGTATACGACTTAATTCAATTATATGCACCATCTATGAACAAGTAGCACTATTGGTGTACTAGACCAGACTAGATGTTTGTGGTGCCACAGTTTATAACTTTGTTAAATTTCTTCTGATTTTAATTTGTAAGTAAAATTTTATTTTTATTAATTATGAATTGCAAAAAGGCAAATGAAAAGCAACAGAAAACTAAAAAAATGACTAGAATCACAATGAAACTGAAAAAAGAGATTGTTGAGAAATATGAAGGTGGCATACGTGTTCGAGATTTTAACTGTTGCATACCTTATTTCAAGAATGACGATATCGACAATTGTGAAAAATAAAGACATTATTAAATCTGCTAACATTGCAAAAGGGGTTAATTAAATCAATTTCTAAACAGAGATCGAAGACATTAGATCATGTTGAGAAATTGCTTTTGTTTTGGATAACTGAAAAACAGTGTGCTAGAGACAGCATATCAGAAGCAATTATTTGCGAGAAAGCTAAAAAGATACATGCTGATCTCATGAAAAATCAAGCAGGAACTAGCCAGGAAAGCAAGGTGTTTAAAGCCAGCCATTTTTTTTACATGAGAACGGATTAATAATTTTTATATTATTTCTTATGGGGAAAGGTTGGTTCGGTGTAGGTCCAAACATCAGAAACGGATTAAGGTCGTATACCAAGGTTCTGTAAGCCACCGGGAAGTAAGAGGAGTCCTCTCCTTCTGGCCACAGGTCGGTGACCTACTTTGTCAGGGATGGTAGTAACATTTGGTTATGCGTTACGTGAGTGGAAGAGAGTCGGAGGGGTCGATGATAAGACGTTGGCAAAGTCGAGTAACAACACCATTTAAAACAAAACAACAGTTTATTTAATTAGCTAACTAAATAAAAAGTTTACAAAACTCCTTAGACTTCGCAGATGAGAGAGAGAGTTTACAATAAGATGTCATACCTCTGTGATAATATCAGATGGCTCCTTCTGCCTTAATGGGTCCAAAAAGCGGTGCATGGTCTTCCAATTAAGGTCGTACAGTAGACAAAAGGGAAGATATGGTTCATCTTCGTCGTTGTTCGTTCGATTAGCAACTCCCCCGATTGAAGAAGGAGGAGGGCTTTTATACGTTTTGTGGTGGGAACATTCGTTAGGTGACGATTTGTTTTAGCAGGTGTGAGGTTAAAGGTGGCGATAGAATGACAACAATATGACGAATTTCGCCCGTAATTGTAAACAATACATGGTTTGATCGTGAGAATGTTTATACTTAAGTAGAAAGATTTATACTTTTCTCATGCATCTCAAATTTCGTTTCTGCAGGTGCAACTTCCTCTAGTTAAAGGAATTTATCAAAAATTTAAAGGATTAATTTCTTTTATGAAATTATATGAACTTCGAATTTCACAGTTCACTGTGTGAAAATTTGGCCTCTATGTATGATAAGCCCTAAAGACGTTATAGATTTTTAAAATAATAGTATATACAAGGCTAGAAGCATGCAATTTACTGTTTTGTAATGTTTAGATATGTTCCATATCATTTAGAATAAATTTATCTCCATCTCTACCAGTGGCATGCCATACATGGAAGCTGTGGAAGCACTGCTTCCCTTGTATTTTCTAAAATATAAATACATATTGCACAATTATCTTCATATTTTAACATACTTTGAATTAATTAAAATTATTTTATTATAACCACATTGTTTATCTTATTACAAATTTCTATACTGTGTGTAAAAAAACAATGATAAGATTGCTATTGTATATTCAAAAATAAATTTGTACATGCCTATTCCCAATGGAAGTGCTGTATTATTGAATATTGGGTAGCTTCCATGGCAAAAATATTTGAATTGTGTAAAGCAGTCAGATTACAGGCATTTGTGCATGCACTTTACGGAGCACCAACCTTATGCTGTTTAACTCATTGATGCTACACACCAAAATATTGTATAACACTTCCAATGATTCTATCCAGGGCCGATGACAGATGACAGCTTCTTTATCATCAAATGTCACCGCATGCCACTGATGTCTACATAATATATACAGGGTTCCTACACATATGGAAAGTCATGGAATGTTAGGGAATTTGTTAAAAATTGTCAGTCAGGCAATTTGCTTCCTTGGCTGCCTTGTTGATTTTTTTTCTGACAATAAGCGTGACTAAGTGTAGCCATCTACAGGCAGCAAGAAGTAATGTGGTGCAAATACAACTTATGAAAAAGGATGCAAAATATTTTCAGGACCCAAAATTTCTTCCTAAGCATACACAAAATTTTCCCAAAAATTTACAAAGTACACAAAATGATAAGTAATTTAAATGGTATTATTTATCATTTTTCATTGTAATAATTTTGATTTCATAACAAAACAATTTCTGATTTTTTCCAGTTTATCAATATTTTATAAAGTTCAGAAAATTTATTAAGAGATAAATTTGTAAATATATACTTTTGTACATTGATGATATAGAATTTGTTATTGTATAATAAAAAATAATTGGTTTTTTTATCTTTTTTTTCAAAACCTTGTAGATTGATGGTTGTGGATTAATAACAGAATTTTTATAAAACTTTTTAATTTTAATAATTTGGCAATTATAAAAGATATATAACTGTTAATTAGAAAAAATAACTAATTAAAACATTGGAGAAGCAAAACATGTGCATAGAAACTCAAATGCTGTTTTATTTTGTCAATATGCCATACTGTAAGAGTCAGGGAAATTAAAACAAAAATTTGAGTACAGTAGAACCTCGAAAACTCGGCCTAATGTGGACCGAAGGGTGGCCGAGTTTGTGAAAATGCCGGGTTATCGGGAATGGGGTTAAAAAAGGATAAGTATGCGTGTTTCCTCAGAAAATACTGTACTGTACTTGTATGTATTGTTTGCTTGAGAATACAACAGAGAATACACTGCCCAAATACCCTTAAACAAAGGAAAAAAACGTATTTATGAAGGCATAAAGCCTTTACTACATGAAAATGAAAATTAATGAATACACTGTGTACAGTAATTTACCTGATAAGACAGACCTCAGAAAAAAACTTTATGAGAGCTTTTATACTTTTATAAAGCAGTCTATAATGAAAATTAATTAACTAAGGATTTTTTTGCCCTGGCAGGGTGTGGCCGAGTTATCCGGAGTGCCGGGTTATCGAGAGCCGAGTTTTCGAGGTTCTACTGTATACATGTCCCATTTTTCCGTTTTGGAAATCTGGCAACTCTGCTTGGTATCTAAGAAATTTTTATAGATGATATGAAACATGTTTTATCATTCCCTAATGTCATAATTCAAATTTGACCAAATATTAGAGTTATGAGATTTTGATTGCCAACTAATGATATGGTATCTTTTTTGTACATAAAACAATTACTTGATATTTTATTGACAGGTTTCCTAAAAACAAGCAATACTTTGGTCAAACGTTGACAGCAATATGACATGACAAATGGAATCCAAGCAATAATAGTGTTCTTTGTAGTCAGCACGTTGAGCCTAATTGTTTCTACAGACAGAACAGATATACCTATTTGCGTAAAACCTACAAAATTTGATTTTTCTCAACCTCTATGGAGACAGCCAGTAGTGCCACAAAGTAAAGTGAACATTTTTGGCTAACATAGATGATGATATCTATGATGATCAAAGTGTGCAGCAGCAGCAGCAAGATAAAGCTCAAATATCTGACCCAACATATCAGATCATCAATACTGTGTACCTAGTCCTAAAAAGTCAATATGGAAAATGGCAGACTATAGGGAAAAGTGTACTGCTCTGCAGTGCAAATTGAGAAATTGTCAACAACTTTGAGCATAGAACAAGATTATCAACTTTGAAAGACTAACGGAAGAACTGAAAATGGAAATTGAGATGTACTGAATGTAAGAAATGATAATTGATTGTTAACTATTGATTATTGTATGCTAGCAAAGATATAACCCACTTGCTCTGTTGCAGTGAAGAAGTGCTCAGACATCTGTGTGAAGGAAGTTTGAAAAGACAAAACAATCTTCTGCTTTATTTGCAGGTTGAAATATTAATTCTGGTAAAGAAACTGCATCTCTCTCACCAAGATGATCATCTTTTCAAAAGTGCTGAGTTTGGTAATGAATACACTATGTATTGATAAAATTGCTCCAATGTTTCTTCACTATTCAATTACATAATACAGTGGGTGATTGGTTAATGAACATAATCCATTCCAAGACTTTGTTCATTAACCGATTATCAATTTACCAGGTTTTTATAATAGGTTTTTATGGGAATTTGATTGATTCGTTCTGGAGACCCCAAAAAATAAAAAATATATACTTTCTTACTATGTTTATTTATATGTAATAATAAATATATATATACACACACACAGTCTTGCATTTTTATTAGTCATGTTTTTTCCATTTGTGGTGGGTTAAAGAATCTGTCTGTCTAATGTCGATTGCTTTTCTCTCTTCTTCAAGATTTTTCAGAAGTAATTAATAGCATTGTAATTGTAGAAATCCCTAAGCCTATTACCTCAACCTGGTTTGGATGCCATTCTAAGACCATTGTTCTGACACTATCCCACTTCTTCAAAATAATGTTTAATAGCAGATATCGACATTAATTTTCTTTTTCAGAAGAAAACATATCTTGCTGAGTTTCTTGATGTTTTTCATTCAAGAGTTCTTGGTGTTCTTCTGTCATCAGATCCATTTCAGGTTCCATTATGAGCCCTTCAATGTTCATTATTTCTCAGGTGTGATTTTTGTTACTCTTTTAGCTGCTTGAGTCTTTTTGATAATACAGTGTCTTTCTTATATAAGATTGAACTGCAGTCTACTGTAGACCCGTTCAAGCCTTACTGCCCAGCAACAACAGACATCAGACATATGCCCACTCTCACCTTTCGAAAATAAAAACTGACGCAAAACTTAATGAGTACCTGCTCGACAGTGTCGTGAATACTATAAAAAAATTGTTTCTGTCAGAAAAATAAAAGGCTAGAATTACATGGGAGAGTTTCAAAGTTCGGAGGAATACTCTCCGATCAGTATATACCAGGTTGAGTGTCAATGTCTCCTGCGCTCCAAAAAGTTTTGAATTGTCTGAAGACAAGGGAAGAATAATCGGTATTCATTATTTTACATCGCTTTTTCTTTTATTTGTTCTGTGAGGTGTTTATCTGATTGTGTTCGTTGTCTGAACATAAAAATCCTTCATGAAAGTGTTCATTAACCGATCACCCACTGTATGTGCAAACAGTAATCAGGCTCATTATGGTATTTCTGTAAGACAAATGTACACCAAACTTGTTCATTTTAATAAATTATGTTTATTGATGGGTTGCTGCATTTGCAAATATTCATATGAATGGTTATATATTATCCAGTGTAGACACTCATCTATTTACATACAAAACTCCAGGAACCAAGTCAAGGATGACCATATATATTTCTTGTGTTTTTATTCCATAATTTGGCGAAATGTTCAGTCAATATGACTAATAATGTAACTACTAGTATTTACTATTAGTTTAATATTTTTCAGAGCATTTTGACTATTTCATTTATTATTTATCAATTCTTCAAATTTAGTCATGAAAATTGTGTATTTATGTGGTGAACGGTTGTTGTATCTATATTTAGGTATTTCCTGCAGTTACACAGCTTTCTACCTTAAAGTGTTAGAACAGACACAAGTTCAATTTGCTTCAAAGATGGCGGCCTGATTCGGAGTCTAGTAGTTATGTCATTAGTTTGAGTTAAATTTGTGTATTTTATATTTTTTGTTCAAAATTGAGCACTTTGAATAGGACATAAAATAAGTACATAATTTTTATCAATTTCTAAAAAATTCTTGGCTTTAATGTATTTTTCCTTTTAATTTCTTTTATGTAAAGATGAAATTTTTCCTCCTCTGTCTGTAAATTGCAAAATTCTGGATACAATATATTTTTTTTTTTCTTTTATACTCATATATCTGTAGTCATCTATATATTTATATATCTGATTTTCTTTTACAGTAAATAAATTATCCCAATATAAGAGAGCACAACAGTGGTCTGTCTTTGCACGTTTATGGTATCTTTATGATGCCAAATGGCAAAACCCTTTTGAATCAGCAGAAAAAATAGCATTTTATTTGGCTGGTAAGCACAAACCCATTTATCATCCATTGAGTGATGTTGGAGATCATGTGGTGGTAATCAACACAAAAGATATAGCAATGCCAGACTTAGAATGGAAATATCGGATGTATTATCATCATACTCGATATGCTGGTGGAGCATCTTGGACATCAGCTTGGGAGCTGCATCAAAAAGATCAAACCAAAGTACTTTGGAAAGCTGTCTATAAAGCATGTGGAAGAAGTCTTCTGAGGCATAATAGGATGGAAAGGTTACATTTATTTCCAGATGATAAAATTCCTGAAAACATTCTAAATAATATTAGTGATCACATACAACAATTAAAAATTGTACCAAAAAAATTAGAAGACTATTCAGAAGAAGAGTTAAAAAATTTTCCTAAGATATTCGAATGGCCTGAAGATTTTGTCTTAAAGTAATCTTGAATTTTAAGAAACTTGTGTAATGTAATAAATAAAAATGTTAAATTTAATTTTCAAAATATAGATTTTTTTCTTTTTTTAGTTAAATAATAACAGAAGTATCTTTAACAGTTTTCAGTGGCTCAACTTAGTGCTAAAATTAAAAATAATGCATGTATCAACAATAAAATGACCAAAAAATTCAATTAGTATTTATTGACAATGACAAATTGTGCACATGGAAACAGACATATAATGTGTGCATTATATATCTGAATTATATTAAATTACCACTTGAATATTACCAAAGTTATGTTGGTCTTATTCATTGATTCACTAGCAAGAAATGTTTGATTGGAAGTATGTTTTTTACTAAAAAAAGTTGAATTCTCCAATAGAGAAAGAGCATTTAATGTATTACCAGTTAAATCTAAAAATCTCAAAAACATCAAACATTCTGTGAAGCATCAAAATTTAGTTCTTGCTGTATGATAAACAAAATAGCACTTAAAATATTTCATAATCATGCCATCTGCCAGCTTATAACTATTTTTTATTTGCATTTTTCTAAATTCTGTCTAAATTTCTAATTAACTGTCAATAATATATAAAGTTAATATTGCTTCCAAAAATTGTTATAAATTTACAAAATATGTAGAAAGAATTTCAAAGTAATGTGAAACTCCAGTCTATAGTATTTTCTACAAGTCTACAATTAGTTTGAAAACTGAAGAAAAGGTTTTATTGATAATACCAAATGTTGAAACACAATAATGTCTTGTAAAAATGTTTATTAATAGAATGCTTAAAATAAAATTTTTCAAATGAGTAAATCTTTGCATCATTATTTCAGTAAACTGCTTTAGGTAGACAGACTGTTCACAAGTTGTTGAATAAATATTGAAAAAAACAGTTTTAATCAGATTATATGTCAGGTAATGCCATCAGTGTGTCAGTTTTCAACCTATGTTTACTAAGGTTTTATCATCTATCACAAATGCTAATTGCCTTTTTTTTATGCCTGGTATACAAGTATGTATGTTTCAAAATTTTTCTTATACTTATTGACTTTGACATGTATTTACTTTTAAAAAATCAGTAGGCCTGCCCTCATAGACCCTAGTTATGCTACTGCATGAAAAGAGTTCCAATTCATTCTGATTGCATTTGCAAGAAACAATATTCATATCTTGTTTAGGTTAAATCTAAACAATCTTAAAAATCTATCTACAATTGGTTATTTTTTAAGGTTGGTTGTTTGTTTTAGTTTACGCCAACAAAACACTTGGTGATAGCAAAGGGGTTGCCTTCTGGGAGGTCTTTTTTAAGGGTAACTGGCCCCTATTTAGGCATTACAGACATTGAGAAAATCCAGAAAAAACTCCATGTGGTCAGCCCATCTTGGCAAGATGTAAACCCACAACCAAACTCCCAGTGTTCAGGAAATGGAACTACTTGGCCTAATTGTTTTGTTTTTGTTTTTAAGAAGTTGCAAAACTTGGTATCTGAATAGGCATGATTTCAAGTAATTTCATGCCAAAGCTAATGACACAAATTGATTGTTACTGTAATATGCCCAACATGATCTTTTTATAGTGTTTTTAATGCTAATGACATTTATCACACAAAAGTAATTTTGCAATAAGAGTATAACTTTCTAGGAAATTTTATATTTGCTATAAAATTATAATTTTGAATAATTCATATTCTGTTACAGAAAATAAATTCCCTAAGTATACGACTTGTATTTTTTTAAATACAATATTTAAAAATAAAAGTTTGTAGTTTTTAACATCAATCAGTTGTTTAGTTATGTATCATATCCTGAAACAAATTTTCCAACTGTAATTAAGGTAATTAAATTTTTATCCAAGCTAATATTTCCAATCTGACAGCTTGATCAATTTAATTCAGCTAATACAACAGGCCATCAAGTAAATGGACTTAACATTCTAAGATTTGACATTCATTGGTTGGAACAATATAAAAATGCAATATTCTGAGTTATGTTATTGAAATAATTGACAATTTTCTAAAGTAAGATTTAATGTCAGTTTTTCTCTTAAGCTCTGAAAATTTCTTTGTACCTGGAGATAAAATTGTTTTTACCTGTCAGGCTACAAGAACTTGTATAGCAAAACTAATAAAACAACTTTCTCCCTTGGCTAATTTTGGCCAATTTCATATTTAAAGTTAACAATGCAATTGAACAGTTTTATGCTATTTTAATACTGATTAAGGAATTTTATTTTTGATTAAATTTCAAATCATATGAAATAATAAAATATAATTGAAAGAGAATTTGATACTTTGAAAATCATTTGCTGTTTAAGAGCCTTCACAAATCATTCCAGAACAATTTTACATCTGATTGTGGAAAAAGATCATCTGATTATCAATACAATTCTAAATGCAATTTGAAGTATGCTGCCATATTTCAGCATCTCAGCTTATTGATAGTTCAAATTTAGGATTCAATAATTCAGAATCTTGAAATTTTCTAAGGAATTTTGTAACTCATTGAAATACCTGCATAGTATTATTTCTTTAGATGGGGACAGAGGAATAGAT